CTGAAGGAAGCTAAAGAGACATGAGCCAATAATGGCAATACGTGAATCTGAATGAGATTATTTTGTTTCAAAAGTTGCTCCTGAAAAGTTTACAAACTTTAGCATAGACACGAGGATTAGATGGAGTTCTGTATTATACTGATCACCTGATTTCATAATTTTGTTGGCATTATGTAAGAGAAGGTCATTTGTGGGAAAAGCACGGTAAAGTCTTAAGGCTGTGCCTATCAGGTTTTCAGCTTGTGCTCAAATAGTTCCAATGGGAAGGAAATACTTAGTGCTGGTCTTACATTTCTGTGAGTGTATCTTTCAAACGTGTAAAGATAACAAAGCCGTTCTTCAGGGCTTGGTAAAGGTATTCGTAGTGTTCTGGAATGGCCCTGGCCAATCCTTATGATCATTCTAGGACCAAGAGATTTCTTGCAGATACACAGAGATGACAGCATGTTTCTCCAAAGGACAGAGCCCTCACACATAATGTCATTGTCCAAAGACCAGAAGAGACAAGTCCCTAAAACCCAGTGAACTGACAGGCTGCACCTCATTCCGGGTCTGGGCCCTCCACACTCTTCCTTCTCACTGTTCCTGGGTTTTATATTCTACACCTCCTCAGAGTGACAGTGCTGACAGACCCCCTACCTCAGTAGGAATCGATGCTGCTTCCTCCAACTAGAGAGGATGGCCCTGGAATCAGGGACTGGGGTAGGATAAACCCAGGCCACCTAAAATCCATATTACCCAAAGTAAGATGAAGACCAACCAAGACACTAATAGCTGGGAAGTTGCTGTTAGTTGCAGAGAGAACAGGAGGGAGGGACTATGGGATGAAGACCAAGCCTGGCCTGCTGTGAGGGTAACAAGCCAGGGAGTCCTCAAGGCCTCAGTGGAGGCTGCCAAGGGAGGCTGTGTCTGCACCACACAGACTGGAAATGCTAGTGCAAACGTCCTGGTGATAAAATGACTTTTTCTCTTCTGGGCAGATGCCTAGTAATGGGATTGTGGGATCAAATGGAAGGTCTATGTTGAGTTCTTGGAGGATTCTCCACACTTCTTTCCAAAGAGGCTGCATTAGTTTGCAGCCAGCATCTGTAGCTTAGGGATAAGTATTGACATTTTGGTTGATTTCAATATTTTGCAATAAATTGTAAGTAATGGACAGTGAATAATTGTATGAATATATACTTTTATATTCCTGGAGGCACGTCTTCAAGAAAATTTCTGAAGAGTGGATTATGAAAAGTTAAAATTTTTTTGAAAATTTTTTTTATTTTTTCAAGTTAAGGAGGGTAGAATTTTTAGGTTAAATTCTTCTCATTTCCAGTATAAAGTTCCATTTGTAAAAGAGCCCCTGTTTTGTAGATACCTTCAAATTCTCCTCCAGAGGGAATGTATTAGTCCCCATCCCTGCAAGCTGTCAATAAAAGTCACTGTTTCCCCATTATCCTGCCTAAAATTGTGCAGCATAATTTTTTTTGTAATTTTCTCCAAACTAATAGATGAAAAATGGTATCGCAAGATACTTTTGATTAGCCTTTCTCTAATTCTCCTTGAGGATGAACAACTTCCAGTGTATTTCCAGCTGTTTATGTGTCTCTTTTGTATTTTGTGTTCTGTCTGTTCCCCAATTTTTGTTTCCCTAACTTTTATGAAGACTTTTATGTATTGGAGTATCAGCCTTTTATAATATATTTAAAAATAGTTTCCCCTGGTTTTCATTTGTCTTTCAATTTTCTTTAAAGTTTTCATACATTTATTGTATTTTTATCTAATCATCTGCATAGACATCATTGTGGAACATTAACCCCTGAGCTGTTTTCACTCCTATGCTATTTTATTCTGATCTGAGTGCCTTGGATGTCTGTAACTTTCATTCCTGGCTTATCACATTCAGACATAGAACTTACTCTCTTACCACTTTCCATATAGTGCACGTGACCATAACTATTCCTTTCCTCCTGCTCTTGTCCTTCCTTCACTGTGTGCAGAATCCCCAACCAGTGTCCCTTCTGCTCAGAGTACAGGTGACTGTCAGCGATTCCGTTTGCTGTTCAAAGTCAGCTGTATAGTACTCCAAAACCTCAAATCGCTAGAGCAGCATTATATAAAATGTTTAAAGAACCAGGTAATTTACAAAAAGAAATAGGAATTTCAGACTCACATGTAGAAATGAAAACAAGAATGTCCTAGATGAGGAGGATAAAATAGGCTTTTCTGTACATAAAATGAAAAGTAGAAATTATGAAAGGAAATATATTTGCATACACAGACAATTTTTAAAAATCAACTTCCGTCTACTATGCAGACCTCTTTCCCATCTGTTATCTCACCAAGGGGTTTCCCAGGCTCATTTCCACGTCATGTCCAACTTCTTGGGAATCTCCTGTTGAGCCCCAAGAATAAGTTTGTGAAGGATTAACTCTCCCGTGGTCTAGTTGGATTAGTGTTGTTTACATTTGTACAGGCAAGACTGATAATAGCCAAAGTTGAGGACCTTACAGAGAGGATAATTAAAGAACAATATCTCTCATAAACATAAACATTCAAAAAATTCTTTCTGGTTTTCTCTTTTCTTTTCTCTCAAATAATCTATAATAATTACATTGAATATACAGTGTGTCCGTAAAGTTTGTGTACAAATCACTTCTTCTACATAACACCAGTGCAACAATGAAACCAGGTGATCAGTGTAATACACGACTCCATCTAGTCCTCTGTTTTATTCCAAATTTTGAGAATTTTTCTAGTAATGTCTTTTCTAACCAAATTATGATGCCATTCATAAGTTATGATATCAATTTTAATAAAATCAATCAATCTACATATGCATATGTGTAAATATTGCATTGGTCAGCTTTTGTATAATAATAACTTATAACCAACCACTCAAAACTCAGTGGCTTATCATGATAAGCACTGTTCAATGTTCAGGGATGCTCATGGTAATGATTACCTACCTGATTAAGGCAGGGCTCAGCTGGGAGTTCTACTGCAGATCTTTAAGCTTGTCTTCAGCCCACTGTAATAAATCTAGTGCCAAGGCAGAACAGTAGTGACTATATAAGATATAACATTTTCATGGAAAGTTGAGGGAATGAGCAAAACCCACAAATCAAGCTGTACAGGCATACTATGAATTTGAGTCAAATAACCACTAACAGAGATGCAAATAAATTGAATTTATTGTTTCACAGTGAAAATTCCTGAAGTTTCTGAAAACATTGAATTATCAAGGCATATACCCAGTTACTGGGGAAATAATTATATATTTAAATCTTTGCAATCTATAAAACATTTTCAATATAATTTTTAATGACTATTTAATGAACCAAGGTGTCTTCAACATATAGCTCTAAATTGATATTTTCTTAAATGACCTCATCAGAAACACATCTTTTTAACAGAATTAAATACTACCTAAAACACAGCTTCTTAAATTTTCTGGATCACCTGTTACCTTGTGAAATGCAAGCTGTCATCCTGTGGGTCCAAGGTGAGCCTGCTGCTTTGCATTTGGGCTAAGCTCACAGTGATGCTGATGACAACGGTGCCTGCTGGATACATTTAAGGATCGGGATATTTTCATAGTGAGGAAAAAGAATGAGACAGGCACACTTAGGTTCCTTTGTTTGCTGGTTTATTAACAGGATTTCTTCCTTTGTTTATCAAGTGATTGCTATATATTTGAGATGTCATTGACTCATTTTTTCTGTTTACTCTGTGACTTAGTGAAGTTTTCTGGCTATCATCCTTGACTTGGTAATGAAACTTGGAAGCACATCTGCGTGTATTCTTCAGCCATCCCCTAAGTGGACAGATACTGAGAGTAAGGAGAGTAGTGACAACAGGCTGTCAGCTGTCAACTGTGCACCACCACTATCACGTAAAATCACTTTGTCAGAACCCCTTTTCTGTGTATGGTTTTCTACAGAGTTTCTGAAAAATGGGCCCTCAGATCACATATAAAAAAGTAAAGAATGACTTAATATTTATTGAAACCTGCAGGGAGACCCTGGATGGAGCTGGGGGATGGAGATTACCTGATGAGGTGCACAGGCAGCTGAGAGCATCAGCACCCCCACTCCAGCTTCCCACAGGTGTGAGGCCCACGTGCTCAGGCAGCCCACACCTTCAGGGGCAGATGCACTCTGGCATGAGCGTGTCCTCCCATTTCCAGGCCCTCCCTTCCTAACGTGCCCCAGGATTTGTAGGATTGTATTTTAGACACCAATTCCCTTAATTAAAACAAGTCTTGATTCACTGAGTCACAAGTGATTTCTCTGTGGCTATAGAAATACCAAAAGATACTGTAAGTCAGACTTTTTATTTTTTTTTATTATGTGAAATACATCTAGATCATGTCACAACTTCTGTTCTCAAAAAAATCAAGACACATAATGTCACATCTCTGTTGCTCGAGCCGAGGAGAAAGACAAAGAGTCAGAGCCCAAAGGAGCCCCACTGACCCCTTAAACCAAAAGTGTCCAGGGCCTTTAGAACATGCTGCCTCTGAGAAATGCCCACAGCAGATGGAGGAAGGAGGAGGAGCAGCTGGGGCCGCCCAGCCTCACACACCTGCTTCCCTGGGGTGGCTTATGCTATGACTTGTAACACTGTGGGAGGGAAACTTCTATGCTGCAGACAGAAATAATCTGCCACATCTTCAGCCTGCAGGCCACTGATGGTCAGAGAAAAATCTGTCCCTGACCCACTGCCTCTGAACCTCGAGGGGACCCCAGTGGCCAAATTAGATGCACTAAAGATCAGTGGCTTAGGAGATTTCCCTGGTTTCTGCTGATACCAGGCTAAATAATTGTTAATGCCCTGACTGGCCCGACAAGTGATGGTGACTGTGTCTCCTAGTGATGCAGACAGGGAGGGTGGTGACTGGGTCATCTGGATGGCACAGCTGGCACCTGAGATGGGAAAAATAAAAATCAAATATACACACAGTTATATTCTTAGGAGGACTCCAATTCTTAGGAGGACTTCCCTAAAGACCCAGGCAGGACTGACCACACTCAGTAAATCCCTGGTGTTCTCCCTCCTTACCTGGGAGCCAGAGCAGCAGGAACCCCATAAGCAGAGCAGGGGGCCTCATGTCTATGCTGTGTCCTGACAGGGACTGACTTCTGCACTGGGTATGACCAGCCTGTTAATAAGTCTCCAAGGAAGGGGACTGTGCCCTGGGAACATGCAAATCAGCAGGAGGTGGGCAGGCTGGGCACAGCTGCAGGCCTGGCTCATCTCAGTGACTCAGAAGAGGCCCAGTGTCCCCAGGTGTCCCAGGGCAGACCAGGGCAGCACACATTTGCCTGCAGAGAATGTCTTTGTTGGTGGAGAATGTTTGCTGAGAAGGACATTTGGGGACACCTATTGTTAAAAGTTGAAGTGAATGAGAGAAAAAATTGAATCACGTATTTCCCAGTTAGATTGGGAGTATTTAGGTGAATATAATTATTTATAAAGAATTATAACAAAGGCTTATATGTAGGGCTATCAGGTAGTCAAGACATTGTCAAATGTTTCTAGACAAGATTCTTGGGACCCCACACTGCAGCTCCTGCTGACCTTCCCAACTGAGTCTTCTGGTCAACATCCTCTTTATCCTCACTACACCGTCTCCCTGAATGATTATTTTTCTACAGGCAACCAAATGAGACCACTCATCGCCAAGTGTATATGGAAGCTAGATTCAAGTTTTGTAAACACACTCATGCCCTCCTGGATTCACTAAGGGTTTGTGATTTGACCTAAGGTGCATTTAAGCAGGAAACGCATGAACCCTGAGTCACTGAAGCCTTAGAGCCTGGCTGGATACACCACTTCTCCAGGAGCTTGAAGTGTCATCAGGGCACAGGCTTAAGAGCCAGGCAGGGGTTCAATCAACTCTGTGATTGATCCTGAGAACACATCACAGGCTCTACCTGGGTTCATATCTCCACCCAATCCCAGTAGCATCAACACACCAACAGAGAAGCCACAGAGCTGAGTCCTGAGCCCACAGCTGACCTCTGCCATGTGCTTCACGTTCTGCTTTACTTCCTCTGACAGAGTCTCAATCTTCTTCTTTTTCCCTGAGAAATATTTGGATTGCTCAGTGATATGGTTGGATGTTTGGATTCTCGAAACAATATGTTGAAATTTATTTTTTAATTTGCTTCAGTTTTATTTCTGTATTGATGTATTCTTATTTTTTATCTCAGATTACTATGAGGGTACAAACAATTAAGTCACATTGTTTGCATTTCTAAGGTAAAGTTCAAGTGGCAGTGGAGCCCCTCACCCAGGGGGTGTGCTCCTACCCTCCACTGTGCACATGAGGAGAGAGCTCAGCTCCTTCCCTCTCCCCACTCCCTCCTTTCCCTTTTCTGTCCTTGAAACACACTTGTCTTTTACTCTCATGTGGGTGTGTAGTTCTTTTTCTATTGTTTTCACATAAGTATTATGTGCAATGGATACTTCCTTTTTCATTCTTTTGACACTTTTCAAAGAAGAATGTGCTTCAACTCCATCCAGGTAAATACAAAAGATGGAAATACCATGGAATACTCTTCAGCCATAAATAACATGGGGACTTCACTGGCTGAAATTTGATCCCCAGGGCTGGAGATCAGCTGGGGGCTGGTGGGAGGTTTTTGGGTCATGAGACCAGATCCCGGTTAAAAGGCTTGGTATCCTCCATGGAAGAGAGTCAGTTCTCACTTCATTAGTTCACAAGAGAGCTGGTTGTGTTTAACAGGCTGGCCCTGCCTCCTCCCTGTCCCCCTCCTTCTCTCAACTCAAGATAAGCCTGCTGCCCCTTCACCTTCTACCTGGATTGGAGCTCTCTGCAGCCCTCAACAGAGGTGGATGCTGCTGCCAAACTCTTTGTTAAGTCTTCAGGCCCATGAGCCAAATAAACCTCTTCTATTTATAAATCAGCCAGCCTCAAATATTTCCCTTATAGCAACACAAAATTTTCTAACAGACACATTTCTTGCACTTATCAAACTTCTGTGTAATATGGCGTGCTGTGCTCTCTAATTCATCCAGTGGCTCTTGGTTGTATTTTATAATGCAGCTTTGGAGTTCAAAAAGCACCATTTTGTTA